CGCAAGGACCTCTTCAAGTTCCGCGCATCCACACCAGCCCGTCCAGCAACTTTGCCCTGGCGAGTTGCCTTGATCAGAGAAGTCGGGGAGCATAAAGTGGAAAAAATAATTACGTTGCAATTATCTCGGGAAAAGAGGGGAAGGCAGGAGGAAAAAACACGGGACGAGGAGGACGCGGAAGAAGAGAGGATGTACGGATAATGTGGAGAAAGAAAAGGAGGAGGAGCAGGAGGGCGAGGAGGGGCAGGAGGGGGAGAAGGGGGAGGAGGGGGAGGAGGAGGACGAGGAGGGGGAGGAGGGGGAGGATGATGATGATGGACGACAATGGGAGGACGATGATGGAGGCCGATGAGGGGGAGGACGACAATGGGAGGACGATGATGAAAGGACGAGGGGGGGAGAGGGAGGACGAGGAAGAAGAGGAGGAGGAGGAGGAGGAGGAGGAGGACGATGACGATGAGGACGAGGAGGAGGAAGAGGAGGAGGAGGAGGAGGAGAGCGCCATCGACAGGGAAGGTGGGGGCCACGAGGTCCGCCGGCTCGACGACGCCCGCGTCGCCCGCGCCCGCCCCCTCACTCTTATCCGCAATTGCGGGACGTGCTCGGCCGTTCTGGAGGGGGCGCCCTCGCCTCGGCGCACTCCCCCCCCCGCATCGAGTGACGGTCAGGTGGGAGGGGGGGGGGACGAAGAATCACACACACACTCTCTGCGCTGGGGGCGCCCTTCCCCCCCCCCCACCCCCCACCCCCCCCTGGAACGGACAGAGGGGGGGGCGAAGAATCATACACTCTCTGCGCTGGGGGCGCCCTTCCCCCCACCCCCCCCACCCCCCCGGGAACGGACAGAGAGGGGGGGGGGGGGGGCGCTTCCTCGTGCCGGACCCTACGCTACTGCTCCGACATTGCCTATAGCGACTCACTGCACGCCCGCCCGCTGGCCATCGCTCGGACGTCCATTCCCTGTGTTTTTGTTGGTTTCGTGCGTGGTTTTTTCGCCAGATGATCAAGGATGCTCCTCGATCGATGGTCCTCGCCGAAGGAAAAATGCACACGTCCGAGCGATGCCAAGCCCGACCCGGCTCGCCCGCCGAAGGGCGCTCGCCGACCCAGCTCGTCCGCCCCGTCCCGCGCGCCCGCCCCGCCAGCCGCACCTTGAAGGGCGCGCCCGTGCCGCGCCGCCTGCGACTCCTGCTTCGAAGGCCCCCGCCCGGCCCGGCCCGCCCGTCAGGGCCCGCCCGCCCGCCGCGCCCACGAGGTCCCGCCCGCCCAAAGTCATTGAAGGGGCCCTGGGACACACAAATAAATACACACAAATAAAAAGATTCCCCATATTTTCCCATATGTTCTGGGTTTTTGTTTTCCCCCCACTTCCCATATTTTCACATATGTTCCTGGGAATCGCCGATTAATTGTGTCTGAGTTATGCGCGGGGATGCGCGGGCCGGCTTCACGGAAGTGCGAGGACATGCGGCAAGGTCCGGGTATGTTTCGTCTCGTCTGCGCGTGTCTAGGCACGCGCAGGGTCAAGTAGGGATGTCGAGGCACGCACGAAGAAGCAGGGGGGAGTTCGTGGAAGTGTCCAGCAACTGAGGGATGTCAAATACAACAGAAGCGCTTGCGGCGCCTGCGAATGCCTAAGGATGCTTTGGTTTGTGTGGAATGTCTACGACTGTAGAGGGGCGTGTAAGGAAGTCTGGGGAAGTCTAGGGACGTCTAGCACATTGCAGGAATACTTATGACTATCTAAGGGTTTGAGAAGCGTCGAGGACTGCCAAGAAGTGGGTAGGATTGTCTGGCGGTGAGCAGGAATCTCTGAGACTGTCTAACAGTGTGGATGATTGTGTAGGCTTGCGTCGGGATGCCTACGGGATGTGTAAGCATGTGTACGAATGGCACGCGTGTTAAGGAGTGCGCAGGAATCCCTGCGGCTGTTTATACTCGGAGGCGCGTCCTGGTGTCGAGGGGAACTCTAGGAATGCAAAAAAGACATGCCAGGAATGTCGAGGACGCCCCAGGCATGCGTAGCAACAGAAAGGGGAGCGGGAACAAAAAGCGATGCCCTAATTAAGCCGCATGCTTGCCAACAAATACTGGATTCCCCCCTCTCCCCCTCTCCCCTGCCCGCCATCCCCGTGGGTTCCGCTTTGGTAGCACCTTTTCGCCCTTTCGCCCCGGAAGAGAAGCCCTGCGTTCCTCCTCCCCCCGTTCCCGCCCTCCCTCCCTCCCCTATCCGCCGTCTCAGGGCGGGGGGTGGCGCTGGGTTGGGTGGGCTCGCTCCGGCCTTTCCACTAGGGAGCTCTGTCATGATTTCCTCTCTCTTCCCCTCCCGTGCTCTCCTCCCCCTCTCGGGCCTCTCGGGGCGGAGCTGGGCTCGGGTGGCCTGGACGGGAAACTGCTCCCCTCGCCAGAGCCTGGGCAGACTGGCACGGCACCGGCACTGCCGGCGATGCGCTCCGCTGGCTTCGCCGTCGGATCTCTCCGCGGACGGACCGGCCCGGTG